TTGGATTATTGAACTATTTAAATTATTATTAGGAAAAATTGATACATATTTAAATTATATTTAAGACTATTTATAATCGACGTTTCTACACTATTTTATATTATTCTCAATGCAAAACTTATGTAATTTAACTATTTATATACTCGTGGCAGAAGGTCTTAGAATTTAACATAATTTATGTCAATTTTTTTTTATGCTAAACCCAATTGTTAACCTGCCGTTAACGATCTTATGGCGGAAGGTGTTGTATGCCGAATCAGTCACGCTACTGTAAACAGCAAACATCCCAAGTCCTTCCTTCTGTTCCTCGTGACTCGACCGAAGAAGTCATCTCTGAACCTTGTCCTCACCCTCATGACTCGACCGATCAAGTCATTCCTGAACCTTGCCCTCATCCTCATGACCTCATCCTTTACAGACCACCAAGCTCGCAGTAACTCCCCCCCTCCCCCTTCCTATTTTTCCGATCCTTTAAAAACACCCAGCATTTTTCCTGGACGGGCAGACTTTCTCTGAACCTTCTAAGGACTAGAATCTACGCTATTCTAACGACGAATATTGTATCCAGTATTACTTCGTTTGTATTTTACTTTAATAATAAACATATTGAGTGGAATACAACACTTGGGCTGTTCTACCATTTTTTAGCATAATTTTTAATCTTCTCTTGAACGTTTTTACTAAGTTTTCGGCTGCCCCGTTTGATGCCGGGTGCTTTACGGCCGATCGGATATGCGTTATCCCCAGCTTCCGTAAAAATGTTTTAAACGCGTCGCTGGTGAACTGTGGTCCGTTGTCACTTATTATTTGTTGTGGTAGCCCGTATCTCGCGAACACCTGCCTGAATGCACTTATTGTCTTTTCCGCTGTCGTCGTTTGCATGTGAAAAATCTCCGGCCATTTCGTTCTTGCGTCCACTAGTAGGAGGAAGTTATGTCCTTTATAAGGTCCTATGAAATCGGTATGAATTCTTTGCCACGGTTCCTGTGGCCAATCCCACGGATGCAATCTTGCCGTTGGCGGGTTGTCGCGGACTTCTGCGCAGTCGCGGACTTCCGACACCCTTTCGCTAACTCTTTCCATTTGTTTGTCGATTTGTGGCCACCAAAAGAATGACCGGGCTATCGATTTCATTTGAACTAAGCCTGCGTGGTTTTTATGTAGTTCTTTCACAACACCGCTGCCTGCAACTTCCGTGGCACTACTACGCGATGTCCCCACATTACGCAGCCTTGCTCCATTGCCAGCTCGTCTCTTCTCGCTTCATAGGGTTTCATTTCACTCGCTAGTGTACCTTTGTTTGGCCACCCTAGCTCTATGTATCTTCTTACTTCTGCGAGCGTCGTGTCCTTTCTTGTTTCCCGTGAAGGTTGCGGGGAAGTCACCAAACAATGCATATACTTTGGACACTTTATTATGACTGCTCTGCGGTCCTTCTCTGCGGTCCGCGCGTCAACCTCACGCACGCACGCACCACTTGCGCGCGCATTCATCCTCCCCTCTCCTTCACTCTTTCGCTCTCGCTATACATACACTACAGATGGACTTGATTCAAGTCCATCGACCTCCGTTCCTATTTTTACATCTTAATATTAACGCACTTAGAACTATGGCATTTAATATTGTACTGATTGTTGAGCCTATGCTGAAATACAACACTAACAAATTTGTAAAATGGTTATGAGGTAATCGTAAATGTGCTGCAGTAACATTAAATGAAAATTGTGGTAAGAATAAATGAATAATGTGTCACTGTTAAAGTAAAATTAGACTGAAATTAGATTAAAAGTAGATTACAATTAGAGCTGAAACAAATAAAAATTGTATTAAACATAGATTAATAATGTGTCGATGATAAAATGGCATTAGTTTAAAATTAAATTAAAAACAGATTAGAATTAGAGCTGAAACAAAACTGTATTTTTATAGTAACAAAATTTGCAGCCTGTAACAAAAACGATTTAAAGTTAGTTAAATTAGAAGTACAATTAAATACACTGAAAATCAAATTATACTGAAGTTAAAGTAAATGAAGTGTAAGAGGTGCAAACTGTTGAAGCGTTCATGTAAACCGCGGCAGTGGGCACGCGATAAACAAGGGAACACCGTCTGGGACGCGTTCGCCCCCGCGTTTTTGTTTCATTATTCAGTTATGATACACGTTCCTGTTCGTAGTCGCGTGGTCGTATGGTCGATCGTATAATGTGTAATCTCGTTTTGTTAAATATACTTTATCAATATCAGTCACAATATATTTAATATTATAACCAGCGAAAGTGTTATTGGAGAGTCAACCTCTCCCGTTACTCAAAGAATCCCTTCTACAGAATTGAAAACTCGTTCCGCCGAATTTTCTCCTAACATCTTACAGTGTTAATCCTCAGAAGTGGGATACGGGTTCAACGAAGACTTTTAAGTGAACTTTTATGTGAACTCTTATGTGAACTTTTAAGTAAACTTTTATTTGAAGGATTTTGGAAAAAATAGCATGTGTGTGTGTGATTTTGTGAACTTTGAAACAAACTGTGAAGATGAGTGAAAATTTTACGATTCAGCAACTGAAAAAGTGTTTGAAGCGATTTGATCTGCCAACGTCAGGATCGAAGAGCGAGTTATTAGTAAGGCTAAACGCGGCTGATCCAGAAGGTTCGTGGATGTCCCTTCCGAATGAACCTGGCGCATGCCAAGAACTAGATGAGACAGAGATGGTCGAACAACAGACAGGTCCATTGAGCCAATACGAAAGGGAGTTAGAATTTATTCGACGAGAGAGAGAGACCTTTTGCAACGTGAAATGGACTTGATGAGGCGAGAGAATGAAATTTTAAGAAATTCGCCTCGGTCAGTACAAAGTCATGGGCCGAATGTTAACGTGAGAGCAGTTGGCGATTTGTTGAGCGACTTTGATGGATCCACCAATACCTTTTTAGCGTGGGAAAAATCTCTCTTATTATTGAAGAATACGTATGAACTGGATGAAAACGCTATCAAGGTTCTCATCGCGGCGAAACTGAAGGGAAGAGCGTTAGAGTGGCTTCACTCAAAGCCCGAACACATTGAAATGAATGTGGAAAGTTTGTTATCCAACATGAGAAAAATGTTTGATCATCGCCAAAATAAGTTAGCGCTAAGGAAAAAGTTTGAAGAAAGATCGTGGAGAATTCAAGAAAACTTCAGTGAATATCATCACGACAAGATGATTTTGGCTAATCAAGTGGGTGTCGAAGATGAAGAATTGATTGACTGCATGATCGACAGGATTCCGGACGATCTGTTACGTAATCAAGCGAGAATGCATCGCTTTACGGAACCGTCCGGATTGTTAGAGGCGTTTGAGAAGATATCCTTGAAACCCAAAACGAATAAAAACGTCGTTGTCGACAGAAGAATTGTAACGAATCGACAGCCCAGTGACAATGTTAGTGCTGTAAACCCACTGCAGCCTGTGCGGCGGTGCTACAACTGTTATGGAAAAGGACATCTGGCAGGCCCCTGTCCCAAACCTAAGAGAAAGCGTGGGTCATGCTTTTCCTGCGGTGAATAAGGACACGGCTACCTGAGGTGTCCAAAATCTTCAAAAGTGGAGGCACCGAAGCCGACAGTGTGTCGCTGATATCGACGGGTCGCAGAGTTCAACGACTGAAGGACAACGAAGGCATTCACCACTCCAGGGTCCGTCTCAGGATTATTGTGTCCTATTGACGGAGGAAAAAGAAGAAAATTACTTTGTGGAAGCGTTAGTGGATTCAGGCAGCGCGATAAACCTTATGACTTGTGAGATGTTTAATAACTTTTTTAGTAGATACGAACTGCTGCAAGGTAAGGACAATTTTAATTATGCTAGAGTAAACCAATCACTATTGTCGGTTATGGAAATACTTTAATCAATGAGAATTATATCTAATACATCGCATTCTATCAAATGCGATTATTTAGTTATTCGCTACGCTATTTCAAAATTAAAAGAAGTACGTGATGGTTAACATAATTGCGCTTTATATTCAATAGTATGAAAGTGAAACGCGATCAATGTTTGTCATACGCAAAGCTATCTTAACAGCAATTTCAAAAAACAAGTATAAAAATCAATATTCTAGTAGAAATCGCGATTATATCATTCGCAACTCTAATCCAACCCGTAATGTTTGTCTTGCTACGCTAATTAAAAATCGTGAAATGCTCTTTGCTGGACGTTGTGACGGCTATGCCAGCCCGATTCAACTACAACGTATTTTCTACTACCGCTACTACCATTTCTACTGAAGCTAAAGTGAATGCAGTGACAAAGTAGTAACATAAAATGACGCTCCATCTCCATGCTAAGACGGAGGACCATTAATAGTTGCCCTCTTGAGCGACATTTTGTCGGGGCCTCCTCGGCATACGCCTCTTCGTTTCTTCGGCAGTCCGCCATTTCTGAAACCCTGAGCTTTCTCGATGGCGAATGGCCAATGGCTCGAAAACAGCCATCGACCATTCGACCAATTACAATCGAGCAATTTCGAACGTTTCGCCTAATCGAGCCTGATACCGATCGCGAACGCGGTATTTATGTGGAACTTGAAAAGTCGAGATCAAGGTTGATCTGCAAACGGCATGCTCCGTTTTGCTGTCAACTCTGAACCGATTTTTCAAGTTCCCCGGTAAAACTGACCATCCCGCAGAAACGACGGCCAGCACCGGCCCCTGCCTTCTTAAATCTAACATTCATTTCAGAGAGTATGTTACCTGCCTACCTACAGCTATATTTAAAAAAGGAGTAAAATACACATTCTCACAAACACACGTCATTCCACGATTGTCACTGATGCACCCGGGTGCGAAAGAACCTAACTCCTAGAGAGAATGTCTCGGGACGTTCGTTGACAACATTCACACTCTAGTTTATCAATTCCTGAAATCGACTGGCAATGGATAACGATCTTTGAAAAAATATTTTACTTGGCACGAACGATTCATTGAAATTGATATAATTCTACTGTCGTTTATTTCATTTGGTAACGCAAGGAGAGACAAAAATATTCTAATCTGTTAAGGTATGTAACATCCTCGGTGTGAAATACCTAAGCTGGTAGTCGTTATAACTAACTTGTAGTTGTACATAGATTTGGTTATACAGAGCAAGGAATCTTAAGGGCCACGTTCTCTGCCAGTTATTTTGCATGTATATATTTATTATATATTATACGAGTTAATTATATATTACACAGGGAAGATAAAAAGAGAACATTAACACAAATTTATATGGTTAAATGGTAAGAAAACATAAAATAAGGTTAACCTTAACATAAATTCATTAATATTAGTATGCATATAGTTTTTTACAATGTCAGATTTATTCTAATTTTAATCGATTGTTTGATACAATTTGTTTCTTTATAAAATGTTTATTCATTCTTTCAAACGTGTGCACTGTTTTCTGTTGTCATGTAATGGTAAATTTATAGAATCATCCGGAATTAAATCATGCTGGATACCTATTCTGTTACAGAGTTAAAATCCAATGTACAACAATGTTTCTGCCTCAAGTAATGAATACACTAAAGAATCCGATGCATAGGCAGTGAGTAATATTATGCATTTGTTTAGAATATATTATTATACAAACTTAGTTTCATTATAATTAATGTCATATTACGTCTTGATTAAATGGAATTTATTTTTTATAGTCAACTATATTGGAGATGTTTACAAAGTATTCGGTCACATTCAAAAATATTTTATTATCCCGATAATAAGAAGACAAAAAGGAATTTATATATAATAGCTGCTAATACAGTAAGATTTATTAAATAATTGTTTAGAATTACCTTACTTTACCTTAATTGTTTGAGATAAACACTTATTTTCAGCGACTAACCCACAGCTCTAATGACGAACAAAAGGGATTTTATAGCCAAAATGATGTACGTGTGGTATATTGTTTGGAACAGTATCAGAAATTTTTATACGCGTTACTAGTATAAGATAATTTTTACAGAAACATCATCGATATAAGTAATCAAAAATGTTTAATGCCAACCAGCATGAAAATCCAATAAGCCAACTTCATCAGATTTATTCTACTGTAAACCATGAATTTG